TCTGGGACACCTATAATGAGAATATTGGTGAGCTTTATGTCATCTCAGAGCTCTCTTAAATTAGTCTCATTCTTTTCATTCTTTTTTTTTTCTGTTCTGTGGTAGTGATTACCATTAATCTGTCTTCTAGCTCACTGATCTGCTCTTCCATCTCCTAGTTTATTCTTGATTCCTTCTAGTCTGTTATTCTTTTCAGTAATTGCATTCTTAACTTCATTTGGGCATTCTTTATATTTTCTAATTCTTTGCTAAAAACTTCCTTCTGTGTATCTATACTCTTCCTGAATTCTCTGAATAACTTTGCCATCATTACTCTAAACTATTTCTCAGATAAATTGCCTATCTCCTCATCATTTATTTCTTTTTCTAGAATTTTATCTTGTACCTTGGCCTGGAAGATATTCCCCTACTACTTCATATTCTCTAACTTTCTATTTGTATTTTTAGGTAGGTTAGTTATGTTTTTTGGCCTTGGAAAAGTGGCCTTCCATGGGAGATGTCCTATGCATCCCAGCAGTTCACTTCTCTCTTGTCACCCAAGGGCCAGTGACTGGTCAGTTACAGGGTAGAGTCTGGCCTGCTTTTGAATTTATTCCATAAGCTTTGAGATTGCTATTTTCTTATTTCTGATATCTGCTTCCTGGTGGGTGAGATTGGACTAGAGGCTTATGCAGGTTTCCTGGCAGAAGGAGTCAGTGCCTTCCTGCTGCTGGGTGGGCCTTGGTCCTGGCCCTCTGTTTGGTAGGGCCATGCCTATGGGCACACCCAGAGGTGGCTGTGGGCTCAGAAAGTCTGCTGATGGATGGATCTGTGTTCCTATCCAGTATGATATTTCATTTGAGGCATCCAAGCACCTAAGCCTACAGGTTATTCTGTGGGGCTATGTCTTGGTGCTAAGGATCCAAGCAAGATGTAAGCCTCCAGGAAAGCTCTTGTAGATGAACACTCCCTGAATGTCTGACACCAGCTTTTATGTCCCCAGGGTGAGCCAAATCCACCCCCTACCTCCCCAGACCTTCCAAAACCTGCAGGAAGAAACCCCACAATGGGGAGCCTGACATTGGACTCAGAACTCATTCCTATGGAAGGTCCTATGCAACTTAATTATTCTTCAGTTTGTGGGTCACCCACCTGGGGGGTATGGGACCCAGTTATATCATGAGCATACCCCTCCTTCCATCCTACTGTTGTTCCCTCTTCATGTTTCCAGTTTAAGAGGATTTCTTTTGCCAGGTTCCAGGCTTTTATTTTCCAACGGCTATTTAGTAGTCATGGTTTTGTTGTAGTCATTAAGAGAAGCAAGCTTGTGGTCCTACTACTCCACCATCTTGATCCAGTCTCTCATAAAATAATTATTAAATAAATAAATATGCATAAAATATTCTTGGATAGAAAGATTTCTGATATATAGTTGTCAGTGCCCACTCCATATATATTAATTTATAAATGTAGTGATTGTAAACAAAAATCACAAAACAATATTATTTAAGCTGAAAAAAGCATTTCTTATTTTTCTGAAAAGATAATTACAGGAAAATAGAAATCAAAAAGAAATTTTATTGATAAATATGAAAGTGTACACAACAATAAAATACTTGAAACTTATTGCCACAAGAAATTGATGAAAACAGAAAACAGAATAGATAATTCAGAAACATATATACATACATATATCTGTATGTTTTAATGTATTAATTGTGATATTATTACCTAATATAATTAATAACTATTACCTCTATTTATAAATTAATTTTGTAGTATATTAACAAAGCCCTAAGTGGTTATTTTGTCAGCTAACAATTTAGGAACAAAGTAATAAATTACTTCCCTATATAATGCAAATCAACTATTTCAGATAAAGAGCTAAAGAAAAATATAAACCTTTACAGTTCTGGATTAAAACTTAGGTGGCTACTTATATAAACTTGTTGGAGAGGCCTTAACACCTCCAGAAGAAATCATAAAGAAAAGGCTTTTGGGTCAAACTACAAAAGTATTTAAACTTCTGTACTTAAATAAAATCATGTCATAAACAAACTAAAATGACAAAAAAAAAACTGGGAGAAATTACTTTTAACATATTAGACAGAAAATAAATGATAATTTTACTAAATTGTTTCTGCATATCAACAAAGAAATATGAACTCCACTAGAAAAACAAAGAACAAAATTAGATAATTATAAAAGAAGCAAATGCTTAACAGACATAATAAATATCCAATCTCTGTAGTAGAAGAAAGACATAGAAATTTTGTCAATCTGTCAAATATTAAAAGTACTAATCCTCAATGTTTGAAATAAATATTTCATATGTATATTTATGTTTTGCTATTGGAGATGTTAATTGTGCAAGCTTCTGTATAAATATCATGATATATATCTAGAACCCTAGGAAAGTTCATATCTTACCACAGAGTTGTTGTGAAAATTTATTATAAGACAGTGGCTTTAGAATTCTTTCCAAAGTCAGGGTGGTGGAAACAGTAGGCCCAAGATGCAGGCAATAATGAGGTACATTCTGTGTAAAGAATTTACAGTAATAATAAAGTTGACTAAAAGCCAGTTCACTTTTATTATCACCATGCACAGGCAATTTGAAACAATATCAGTGATTTAAATACTCTTCCCCACCAGACTGGACTGCTTCTATTGCCCAACCTTGGTTCTCTACTGTTCTGAGAAATAAGAAAAGTGTGTAAAAATATTTGATGAATAATACTCATCATCCTATTTATTTTAATATTAAAAGAACTATCCTAAATGCCTAATGTTATAGGATTAGTAAAATAAACCATGGAGCATTCATATTTCACAACCACAGTGCTATTCTGTATTTGTTTACCCATGATATATTGTTAAAATCAAATAAAATGCAGAACAAAAATTATACTCACAACCTGTTTTTAAATGTATTTATATTATGTTCAATAAAAAAATTACTAAACAATAGTTTTAGTCACAATCTGATTTTAAATGTATTTTTATGATAGCATAGGAGAGAAATTCCAGGAAAGATAAAACAGGATCTATAACACCTGTTCCTCCCAACACAGACAGACAGATGCGCACACACACACACATAGACACACACAAACACACACACACTTTTTTACTAGAATTGTTGTTCTCAAACTTGGCTGCACATTAGAATATCCTGAGGAGTTTTTAAAATCATAATACCTGGGATACAAACATACCAAACCAGAATCCCAGGTTCAGGGGGAGGGATCAGGCATAATTATTTTTTAAAATTCCCAGATGGGTCCAATGTTCAGCTAAATTTAGAACCAATCAACTACAGCCTTGCTACTCACATGTGGCCCATGAACTTGCATACAGCAGTGGCAAGCATCAGGAGCTGGTTAGAAAGGCAGAATCCTGGGCCCCACTCCAGATCGCAGCAGTCATTTAACAAGATTGTCCAATTATTTCATTAAAGTTCAAGCAGCTGTGATAGAGACATGTTTCCATGTCTCCAAGATAAAATTTCATTGGACTAAAGTGTTCTAAGGTTCAAAATAAGTCTGAAAAACATTAGATTGATAACGTTCACTCTATCTACAAATCTTGTGACTTACATTAATTTTACTTTCCTTCATATGGAGGTGCAGATAATTTTTACTAACCCATATCCAATAAGAAAATAAAGTAATTAGGGATTTGTTGAAAACAAGTTTAGAAAGCAGTGATTGCTCTTGGGAAGAACAAATTGCATTAGGATTTTTTTTTTTTTTGTCTTAGAGAAAAAGAAATTTCCAGACTTTGAGTTTAATATTAACTTTCTTGACTGTTTTCCTTTGCAGAGACGTTTTAGTCAAGTAAATCCATAAGCTGAACTTTAATAAATTTGTCAAGTCTCTAGAGGAATTAGATAATATATCTCTTGTCCAAATCAAAAGAACATCTGAGTCACTCATGTCATTCCAATCTCAGTTGTTGTTTAACAAATGAGCAGTTAATAAAAGAAAGGAAAAAAAAATGGATCTCGGGGAGGGGTATTAAAATGAGACAAACTTTTAAATTGAAAAAGTAATTGCCATACAAAGTATTTTGTGTATGGAATAAATTTACATAATGGAAATCTAAGGCAACCTGAATCAATGCAAATAACCCAATGCAATAACAACTTTATTAAGACAACAGCTATATATATATAGAAAATAAAGACATTTCCCTCAGCCTTGAAATGGTATTCTCCTAAAGGAAACCAGCATTGTAAATTCTCAGTTACAGAAGAAAATTGGCTGATACACTGATGTCTCTTGTGTTAACATATTAGTGCAAACTCAGTTTCTTAGCAGTTTTTGCTATAAAAATCCATGCTCTTTTATATAGTAGATGAAAGTTGAAATTGAATTATCTTCCAAAAAATCCGATTAGTACTTCAATGCTTTTAAAGAATTTTTTCTCTCCTTAATCACTGAATTCTTATCAAGACTGTAATGGACTGATATCTCCATTTTAGAGATAAACTAAAAGTTAAAGGAGTACTATAGATTGTCCAAGAACACATATCCACAAGTGGTAGAACATACACTCAAACGTAGATCTTTCATGCTAAGTTTCTCCCAAATCACAGTCCCTTCTCAAGTAATTTAATTCTATTTCTTTCAATATTTATTTTGTTCATTATGTTTTTTGAGATACACACACATACACTTATATACCTATACACACATACACACCACACTTTTAGGAAATTCTGGCTGAAATCTAGGTCACAAGTAACTTGTCAAAAAAATACAGTCATGTAAGTTGACATTTTCGGATTCTGATGCCAGCTGCACATTTCCCAGAAACTAAATATGAAAGAATATAGTTTTCTTTGATTTCACCCATTATTCTGAGAGTCAGTATTAATTCTACCTCTTTTGCATGATTCCCAGTCACACTTGCCCAAATTAGCACAGAAATGGTTAAGAAAAAATATTATTGATCATTACACAAGGTAAAGTTAATTCTTAACTAAATTCTACCCTTTTTCAGAAATGTCATGCCACATCCCTTTATTTGTGCCTGAACACTCCCTATTGAATGCTCTCTTTTATTTTTAATACTACATTTTTAGTTTTAAAGCTATCAAGTGTATTTTCATGGTGCAAACACAATACATGGTAAATTGATATATAAATATCTAGAAGACAATTTAGGGTTCATTTATTTAAATGAAACAGATAATCACAAAAGTTCTCATTTCTTTTTTCTTTAGCTTATCTGGATTTCCTCTAATTCATGATAGTTCACTTGATTATTTCCTTTTATGTGCCTGTAGTAGGCATTCCCTTGCATTTTTTTCAAGGTGAAAGAAAAATTTTAGGAATTCTAATCAATCTTGACATGAATATTATATTTAATGAAACCTTCTCAGAAATAAGAAAACTCAAAGAGAAAATGGAAATAGATCTAAAATGAATTAATAATATCAAATACAAAAGAAACAATCAACACTCAGTTCCAAATAATTCCTGTTCTAAAGAATTCATAATGTTTTCTCCAATCCCATTTTACTTTTCAGTCAGTAGTATAATTTCCAATACAAATAGAGATACCTATGGGATATTTTGGTTATCAGTAGAATACAAAATGTCTTCCCTATTCCTTCATAGTAATTTTAGGCATTGTACAATATAGACCTGAAAGTTAAGAAAACAAATCTTAATTAAAATATCTAGCCATTTGAATACTCAGATATTTTTCTTAACTATACATTTTCACTGCTGGTTTGGATATATTTAATTCAATTTCAGACTAAACTGTATTTTCAATCCAGCTTGTACTAAGTGATATATGTTAGTAAAGATTAAATAAATAATTCTCATGTATATTATTAAAGTTAGAAAATCTAATATTAACCAACAAATTTTTAAATAAAAAAAACAAAGTATTAAATTTAAGGAAATGTGCTTATTATAATAGGAATAATTTTTTGTGGTAGTAGTATCCAAATGTGTCCCCTCAGTAAGCCATGACTTCCAGTATTTACCTCCTTATATAGATAGCCTTGTCCTCTTGAGCATGGACTGACACAACAATCTGCTTTTGTCTCTGTGTTATTTCCAAGGTTGGATCATAAGAAGTTTAGTAGCCTACAATTACATCTCTTAACATCCTTGTTCTAGGAGAAGCCAGCCACTAAGTAAGAAGCCTTACTACCTTGAAGCCACCATGCTGTGAGGAACCAAAAATAACTTACATAGGGAGAGAAACAGAGATGCTTGACTAGCTCCCAGTTATTTAAACCACCCAAGACCAAGCACCAGACATGAGTGAAATCTGAGTGAAGAAGTGTTCTTGGATATTTCAGTCCCAGGACATCATGTGAGGAAGAACCCAGGAATCAGGCTGACAGCCAGAACTGAGGCTTCAGATATCTGACTGTAATTGACTCATCTAACCACCTTTAACCAGATGAGCACTCCAACAATGAGGAGCAGACATGAGTCATTCTTACTGTATTTTGACATGTCCTGACCCTCAGAATTTTAAGCATAGCTGTTAACATACATGATCCCAAAAGACTACCTCTGTGTTTTGGCCCTAAGTTGTTCTGTTCTTCACTGCAGACTGAGACCTGTTAGCTCAAAATCTCTCCAGTGCCAAACTCAAAATTTTACAAATCCAATTATTTAAAAATAGCTCAAAACCTGCTTTGCATACCCCCAAGAAACCTCACCCATCTGTCAGCCATAGATAAGATAGCCTGTGGTTAAAAGACTCAAAGATGCAACTGTTCTTCAGAGTTTTCTGACTCAAAGACTGCACTGTGTTGCTTCATCCCCTAGATACTCTTGACACATAACACCCCTCAGTAGCCTCTGGACAGACTGCTGTGAGAGATTTCTCCCACTTGCAAACCTCTCAAAGCACAGTCCAATAAAGCATGTATAGACTACTCTCACTTCTGATCCTTTGATTAGTTTCCAAATCCCTTAAACACCTACAAACATAAAATTATTTTTTGTCTTATCCAACTAAATTTTAGACTCTCTGTTATGCAGCAGCAAAAAAAATAATAGAAGCATTTTAACCATTTCCCTAAGGCATCCAAAACCATTTGTAAAACAATTAACTACCCTAAGAAATTTCACCAATATTGTAAGGTTATTCAATTTAATGCACAAGAACTATGATCCAAGGCTGAGATGGTAATGTTCCTAAAGTAATATTACTTTTCATGATCCATTATATCTTTTGGAGAATACTATGAGATGATAAAATATTTTAGTAAAAACAAGGAGCAATTTTCCCAACATTTAACTGTAATTAATGAATAATTTAAATCACAACCATAAGCAATCTTGTCCATGAAAGGAAAAAAAAGAAACAGTTTTGGAACTAATCAACTGTTCTTAAATTGTTTATATTAGACATTCTTGCTTATTTGTTTTTATTTAGTTTTTGTCATTAACATTCATTAACAGATAAGTTGTAGCCAAAAGTTTATAGAAAATACTGAATCAAAAATGAAACTTGGAAAAATAAACAATTTGTATCTGTAAATTCTTATAAGTAAGAAGTAACTTCTGTATAACTAAGAAAATTAACCTCAAAAAATTAGAAAGAGACTGCCATTATTGTTTTGTTTGTTTGTTTGTTTTTTGTTTTTGTTTTTTTGGCAGTGTAGCACTCTGGTCTGCTTGCTGTATGTGAGAGTTCTGTGTCAGCATCATCTGAGAACAGTAGCATGGAAGTGTTCTATCACACATTTTTGTCTTGCAAAACAGAGTAAAGGAG